GTCGCTGACAAGAGGGTGGGAGCCGGACGGTCTGAAGCAGAGTTTCGGTGGTGGCCGAGGTTTGGTTGAGTGGTTGCAGCGACACGCTGTCGGTGGGCTTCCCTGAAGGCAGATGTGAGGTCAGCGTTAATTAGTGGCTGACTGCTCCCGATTTTGGCGCTTGAATCGGCAGGACCCCACAAACTCACCTTACCCACGCTGCGTGGCTCCCCTGTACCTGCAGGGACAGGCGTCTGGTCCGGGAAAGTCACAGTGTCTCCACTAATTCAACGCAATGGCCGAGACCGAGAACCCCAAAGATCGATCGGTCCGATCTTGAATCTTCCCGTCCCATCTCCGCTTCTTCGTCTTCAAGTGCTCAACCGTCATGGACCCTTCCTTAGGCTGTACTTGCTTTCAACTAGACGTGCATTGATGGCTCGCCATCTCTCACCGCCCCTCAAGGTTCCAAGGCAGCCATCCACGTCTGACGCGCTAAACACCTGTTGACGTGCATCGAAACGGCCCCCAACAAGGTAGAAGCACAAAAAAACAACAAGACCCTGGAGACTCTTGGAGTTAGTAGGTCCATGTGCCTGCTCCTTGACTCTCGTTGCACCTGAATGAGGTTGTTGTGAAGCGCAACGGGGGAGATAGTTCCATGGTGTCGGAGCCAGCTTCGGCGCAAAAACCATGATCGCGACTTTTGGGCACCACCAACACCAGCTGCGCTGTCGCAATAAGTTAACCTCGCTGCGGTGTTCCACCAGCAACGCATCTCCCCCGTAACGATTTGTGTGCATCGTGGCTTTCTTCCAATTGAAGGCAAGACGTGGAGTTTTGGTTGCTCGAGAATTTCTCTCGTTGGGTTGATCGCATTGGAAGCGCGGGGTGCTGGCAGCGACATTGCGACACGGGCTGGCAGCGAATGGCTGTGTGGTTGGCAGCGACTCCACTTAGGGGCAGCTCCATGGGAAAAACCAGGCATGGTAGTGCGCGGCGCTCATTGGCTGATAGTTTATCCGGCGCCAGTTTCGCGCGCCGGAACATCTTGGTCGGAACATCTTGTCAAACCATCCAGGTCCCGTCACTGTACCCCCCTTTACTCCGTCAGTGCCCTGTGGTAGGGACTCCACCCCATGGCAGCGACTCCACTTGATACAGCGACTCAACTTGGCAGCGACTCAACTTAGCAGCGACTCAAGTTGATGTAGCGACTCAAGTTAATGCAACGGCTTGATACAGCGACTTGATGTGTAGGACTGATATGCAGGACTGATGCTTAGGTTAAAATACCAGTATCGGCAGACTTCGAGCAGAACACCACAGGCAGCGGAACAAAGCTTGCAGTTTGGCAGGCCAGCTGTGTGAGGACCGCATTCACTTGGGAAGTTGGGGCATGCCCATCGGGAGCCTGGGGAGACCTGAGTCCACACGGGTTAATCACGGTCGCCAGCGACCCGAATCGTGCATCGCTTCTTCAACATCTTCCTGTCGCCATGCTATGTCCATCCTTGAATGTCGCTCTCGGAAGGGTTTGAGGTCTTGCGATCAAGGTGCGGACAGACGGCACGTGGGTGTGCCCGGTGCCTGTTCACTTCATGTGATTAGCGCCTGAGGGCCGGTACCATCTTCTGAGGATAGTACAGCTCTCTGGTTGGGCGCAGCGCAGCGGGCCTCTTGATTGACTTGCGCGGTTAGTCAGTCGTTGCCTGTCGCTGCTATTTAGAGTCGCTGCCATTTAGAGTCGCTGCCCTGTGGAGTCGCTGCCCTGTGGAGTCGCTTCCCTGTGGAGTCGCTGTCTTGTGGAGTCGCTGCTAGGGGTTGCTGGTATGTGGAGTAGCTGCCACACTCAGCTTAGTGTAGGCAGTCACTGCCATAGATACCTACCTTAGGTACCTAGGTGGTCCCTGCCAGCCCCAAGTACACTAAGGATTCCCTGTCTGTCCCCGTTCTCCCCCGCAACTTGGCTAACCTTGCCGCAGACATCACCATCACCACCACCATCATCGTGCCCGTGGGTGAATCTTTCGGCATCTTTGTGCGGGGACGCCCAGCCGTAACTTCGGTTTCAGCCTTGCAAACCTCCCGAGAGCGCACCTTGACGGATGTCGAAGGAGCAGCACAGGCATGCGAGGCCGGAGAGCGAGATCACTGATTGAGCGCGGACGCAAGGTGGTCAATCCGTCGCTGCAACGACATCGCCAATTGACTGACACACCCGTCGCATCTCGTCCACCTTGCCATCTACCTTTCCGCCTGGTGCGACTCAATATCTTTGTCCTTGACGCCAACGCTGCTATCATGGACCGACGCGTTTCTTTTCTTGCTCCATCCCTATCTCAGGGCCTCAGTTCCTCATGACGCAGCCCCTCTCTTTCTCTAGCGTGCACCCACTCGCCAACCATGACATGCCCAATGATCCCAGGTATTTTCTTGCAAGTCCTTCGGATTGCCTTGCTGCCAACCCAACAGCTAACAAGACCCCACCAGACATGACCCGCCTTCGCCTCATACCGAAATGCGATTCCTGATCCGACCCGCGATGATTTTTCGATCGAACAAACTACCGACTTCCCTAGCTTCGAGTCCGAGCGCGTCTCTGCGTCAATAAATACTGCACACATCATCTATACCACGAAGCAGCCTGCTGCAATGCCTGTCAGCTTCCCCTCCCGCTCATCCAGATTCTCGGGTCCGGCCGCGCCAGCACCGTCGCTTGTCATGGCCTGAGCCAAGTCCCCCGTTCCCTGGGTGGAACGAACATCTCCCATTCCGCGCTGGACCACACGGCTATCCATCTCGCTCTACGAGCGCTGTATCGTGACCAATACGTGGCAGAAGATCCTCGCAGGGGAGACCTTCGCAGACGCGCGACTTTTCCGTGCTACGCTGTCGACATTCCCCTCGCCCTCGCTATTGCCCATGCCCGCTAGCCACAGGTTGGGGTGTCGACAAAATCAGAAAGTATGCGTGGTTTCTTCGAGCATTGACTTCCATACATGTTTGGCGAGATGTTCGAAGTCACCTTTGTCGTCTTGTCGCCACCTACCATCATAGCAAGGCTCTCTCGCTCGACTCCAACGCGGCTCAGCAGCTCTCTCGCTCGCCGTAGGCTAGTCTGCTTGGCCTTTCGCCCCCGACCTGCCGTCCACAATTGAGTGCTCCGCAATTTTGCCGTCGCTAGCCATGTCTGAATAGCACGGACGAACCCCTAACACCACTCCTGGTCCTCCGAGAGTTAGATCCGGAAGTATTGACGGACGGCTTCGTCGGCCGTACCAATCATCTCACAGGGCGACTGACGACAAAACGGGTGCCGCGTGCTCCGCGTCGCTTTTCAGGACACGCGACACCGCATCAGCAGTGCCTGTCATGGCGTCTGATAAGGGCGGAAGACCCGCTGCCGCCGCTGCTGCAGGCGGTAACTCGCCATCTTCCTCTCTGACCGACTCTCACGTCGCCTCCTCCCGCGCCTTCCACACTACAGAAGATGCGAAGAGAGAAAGGCATGCGGATAGCGAGGGCGCTGCCTGCCGACACTTCTGCCGCGAATGTGCCGGCCTCGGCACATGGGTAGTAACAAAGCATGACGATCTTGACGAACATGCCGACCACAACAGCGAGAAGGGCAATTGGCCGGGAACCCGAGCGATGTCGTGAGGAATTTCGCTAGGCAGACTACGTGGAGACTGGACCCCTTTGGCCTCTGTCATTCCGCGCCGGAGAAGCTCCTGGGACGCTGACATATTGGTCGATGACAGGCTGTTTGTGCGGCTGCCATCGCACAGTTTTGTGGTAACGCATCTGGCCCGATCATGTATGTGTCACACGTCTGCAGGCAGTGTCGGAAGCTCTGAAGAACAGGGACTCAGGAGACAAACCCGACCTGTTTTAAGTAGACGGCTACCAATGGCGGCCAGCGCGACGATACAGATCTGATACAATGTATCAAAGGAATCGAGAGACATCATCCGGAGGCAATTCTGGGTCTAATTGCCGCCGCGCGGGAGAGCATAAAGATGCCGGCACCACCGCAAGTCTTCATCTCACTGTCGCTTCCGTTACCTCGTCTCAACCACGGCGTTCCTGGCATTTCTTCGTGTCGTTCGATCGACCATGTCCACCAAACCTCGTTCCTGCAGCAATCAGTGTACCGTCGTCGCGTCGGTTATGTTGGCCCTCGCACTTGCTGCTGCCTTCTGCTTTGGCCGGCTCTTCGGTTTGCGTCAACCCCCACTGGTCAAGGCCGTGGTGATTCCCACTGCCAAAACCTTCGGTCAGTAATATTCGCCGTTCCTTTCATTCCTTCTGGCCCCATCCTCGCCAACGTCATGTCTTCTTTGCATCCATGTAGGATGACGCTGACCTCAACTAGATACCGACGCATACATCTGCGCGCTCCACCACCGAATTCAGGCAAGCAACTTGTCCTCTGACGTCCGCACTTTCTACGAGTTCGTCGGCGCCGAAAACCCCCGTCCATCCTTGCCTCCTGGAACCATCGAGGGAAGCTTGCTGCTTGTCTGGACCCAATATGCGAGTAAGGGCATGCAGAGTTTCAGCCATATCAGTATCAGCGGTCCCGGTCTTGGCTTCGGTGCTGGTCATGATGCCGCCCCCGTACAGCAGCGTGCCTGCCTCTGGGATGATGGAGAGGAGGAGGTCGAAAGAGAGGTCCTGTTTCTGACGGTATTGGATTTTCTGATGGCCAGACCGGATGTGCGGGCGCACTACAACTACATGTTTCTGCGACCGTTGACGCAGCCGTCTGACCGCATGGCTACGCTGAGGAACCTTTGTGGTTGTGACTGAGAGCTGGCGAGTCAAGAAACAGAGGCGGCTAGCCGCCGTGAGGTACGCATGCTGGCGGGCCATGGATGGCGTGGTTACAGACGAAGACAGGGCTTAGACAGGACACAAAGCATAGGTGACAAGACGTCAATCAGACTAGCAGAATATTACTTGCGTAATAACTAAGTGAGTTAATTGAATGTTGGGTTGCAACAGGAGACTGTTGCTCATGTTGTTCTCGAGATCTTGAATCCTCCAATAATGCGTGACTGGAAAACATCTTTGGGGTCGTATGCTTTAGAGACTTTGCGGAGAAACTCAACATTCTGAGCTCCGTAGCCACGAAGCGGATCTTGAGATGGTTCTGCGTAGTTGAGGTATCGAAAAGGAACGTTGGCGTTCTCAGCAACGGCGAAGTCTTCCAATTCGGCGCGCAGAGTATTTGTGAGAAGGCGTGCGATCGCTTCTTGCTCAGCGGTCTGGACATTGACAATGTTCACCCACAGGACTGAGCTCTCTACCAAAGAAGAATCTAGGCCGAGTACGTTTCCTCCGCGTCTTGAAGTGCCGTAGTATGTAGGGAGGTGTTGGAAGTTCATCTGTACCTGGAAGTCGTCTGTTGACATGAAGCCTTGCATGTTTTCTACAAACTCCTCCCACTTTGCGACAGTTTGGTGCAAAACCACTGGGATGGCTCGAAACGTCAACGTAAGCCATATACTTCTGTCGTTGTTATTAACGAATTTCTGATCTGTAGCCTTCGTAAATGCTCACCTACTGGTACCGCTGACGGTAGATTCTTGGGCAAGCGATACAAGACTCCTCATTCTCAGATCTTCAGAAACAGCAGGTATACGTGTGATCTCCATCAATGTGTTCGGCGACCCGTTAATGTTGAGAATCGAAGCTTCTATTGTGATGTTCGGCGAAACCTGAGTGTCGTGAACGAAAGTAGGCGTGATTGTGTCGCGGGCTTGCGACGCATTGTAGTTGGCAAAAGCGATCACGGCGTTGATAATTTGGTCGATGTAGTTTGTGCTGATGATTCGCGAGCCACCGTACAGATCAGCGGATGGGAAAGCCTCCAAATCGAAACGGGTGACGATGCCGAAGTTGCTAGCGCCGCCCTTGAGCGCCTTGTACAAGTCGGCGTGCGCTGTTTCGTTAGCATTTATCATTCTACCGTCGGACAGAACAACTTCGTAATTAACGACGTTGTCACACCCGAACCCCAGGTGCCCAGTGTAGTACGAATGACCACCTCCGAGCAGAAACCCGGAGGCACCTACGCCACCGGCGCGGCTTCTTCTGACCAGACTGATACCATGTTCTGTCAGGTCCTGAGGAACGGATACCTAGAGACTGCCTGCCCCAACTGAAGCGAAGTTATTCGATGCATTGTACGTGGTCTTGTTGAGCAGGCCCAAATCAATCGTTACGCCATTAGCAATGTTGTTCGAACCTGGCCAGTGGTTGTGGCCGCCTCCGCGAACCGCAGCATGCCAGCTGCCGGCTCCGTCGCCAACACTGGTGAGTGTTGTCAAAGTTAAGGAGACCTCGTCCGATGTCCGGGGTTGAACGATACACCAAGGCGTTAGGCGGGTGCTGGCAGACCAGTACGTCTGAAGTCGCGACTCGTAACCCGGGTCCGTAGCAAAGAGGAGGCAGTCGCCTAACCCAGCCTCAGCAAGGGCATCGCACTAATGTGAGGGAGAATCTGAGATCGGCCCGCATACAGCAAGGCAAAACCATCCGAGACCATATCGTACCGGGGGGAGTCCAGTGCGGGCCATTCCGAAGGCAAATATGCAGTAAGTGAGAAGGCTTAGCAAGTTGACGGCTTTCATTGTCATTATCGTGGTGGCTCTGTATGGGGGTGTGAGGTTGACTGGAAAGGTAGCCCTGATGGAGACTTGCAAATGAGGGAAAACCGCGATACGCTTCTTCCTTGTTACGCTTCGGGTTCTAGATGGAAAAAAGCTCTACCTAATTTGACTCCTTCACATTGCTGCTATTAATTCTCTGCGTGTCAACCTTGGATATGAACGCAGCGGAGGGGTCTCTATTGTGGAAGCAGAAGGCTTCACACCTACACCGTTTGATTACCTTTGAGGTGTTTATCGTAGATGAGTCGGATCTAGTGAGTTGCCCATTTCAGTCGGGATCCGTCTATGCCCCTGATAGATTAATTGAAAGTTTGATGAAGTCCGTGGTGGGTGTTCAGCGATTTCAAAGCATAGCGGACTACTCCGACAGCCAGGTTGAGAATCAGAATCATACAGGCGCCCAGCAATATTGACAGAGCAAACTCCGACGATTTACGGATGCTGGTGTTGAGATTATAATACATTGAGGCATACCACGTAGAATTCGGCTGTCTTGAAGCAACAAACTGAGAGCCAGTAGAGTAAGATGCGACTTCAGAGCATGACAAGTTTTCTACACGTCCTTCGCATTGCCTATTTGACACCTGTCTTAGCAAAGACACTTGAGATGTCTACGGCAACCTCTTCTATGTCTACCAACCAGAGCACAACAATACATGGTTCGAAAACCTCGCTGTTCGTTCCAACGGCGACATTCTGGCCACAAGGTTGGACGCGCCAGAGGTTTGGCTTATTGAACCTGCCACAGGCAAAGGCCGTGCTCTCGTCAATATTCCCGGCGTTCTTGGTACCATCGGCATCACCGAAACCGCCCTGGATATTTTCGTTTTCGGGGCCGGCAACCTCAGTATCAGCCCCTTGGATGTCGTACCTGGTTCATTGAAGCTCTTTTCATTGGATCTCTCGAGGAAAGACACCGAAGTCGAACTCATCACGTCGATGCCGGATGCAGTCTCAATCAACGGCATAACACCTTGGAGCACAACAGAGGTTTTGGTTGCCGACACAATTCTTGGAGCAGTCTACAAAGTCAACACAGTCACCGGGGCGTATGAGACATCGCTCTCGGGACCTGGTTTTGCCGGTGCGAACGGAGTCAGTGTGCAAGATGGATATCTTTACTACACCAGCTCAAGCAACCAGACGCTATCTCGTGTGATGGTCAACAGCGATCTCATTCCAGGCCCGATGAAGGTCATCTATAGCGGAACACCCGTGGACGATTTCGTTCTAGCACCGGATGGAACCGCCTACGTCGCTACTCTGGGTCACAATCAGGTCATACGAGTGGATCCTTTGGGGTCCTCAACAATTGTTGCGGGTGCGATCGACAAACTGACGTTACAGGCGCCACTACTTTGCGATTCGGGTCAAAGGGAAAGGACAGTAGGACGTTATATGTGACTACGAACGGAGCAACCGCACAGCCGCTTGGAGGTGACCTCACTGAACCGGCTAAAATCGTGGCTATTGAGTTCAATTGTGGTAACACGCTCATCCCCTAGATGGAGGCATTTTTCACCGATTGTTGCTGAGGAAATCATGCAGATAGATATATATCTTTTGCCTTCCCCAAGAAAGGTTATATTTAACTGTTTGCATAATCTTTGAACTACTACTTAGAAGGTTTTATCTAAATGAGCAACCAATGATAAGCTTTGAAAGAACATGTTTAATGTATTCGCTAAAACCCTTACAAAAACCAGGAGTAGTGGACTGACTTGGAAATTCCTTGGACGATCATCAAGGACAGCGCAGCCTTTCGGGCTACCGATGGACCACGTGCATGAGAAGGGTCTCCGTCCCGGTCGGCCACGACGACATCACAGCTGAAAGCCTCGCGCTAACATCCCAGTCTCAAGTCCAACAAGGCATGGTGGCAGCCCCGACTGATGGTGACACCTGGGTCCTCCCTTCGCGCCAGCAGCGCCTCCACGCTCAGCAACCCGCCCATGCCTTCAAGCATCTGATTTCGGACGAAGACCCCCGCCGCGGCTGGGTCCTCGCGCGCGCCTCGTCGAAGCAAACGGCTGATGAAGAGTGGCCCGAAATGTGGACCAGAATTGAGAAATCTCCCAGAACGCTGCGGAGGAAAAAGCATTGGAAGGACTAGCCTCAGCATCCGACGGGAAGGGTGGTGTAATGGAGCTCCCCCGACGTCGAGGGTTATGGAATCAAACGCCGTATTGACTGTTCGGGTGCACAGAATAAGACTCACGCGGACGGTGCGACGCCTGATGCAGCTTCTCCAGGGCCCCCAGGTGTTGTCCCCGGCAGCACTGCGCCGGCCACATCCGGCGACCTTGACAGCTTGGGCAGCAATTCAGTCTCTGCGAGCATTCTGAACCAGGACTACAGCACGGTAGTAATCCAAATCGGTGCCGGCTCCGGACCCGCGGCAACTGTCGGTCAGACCTCCTTTCCCGGCTTCATCGACAGCCATGCTTTGTCTTATTCGACCCGCGAGCAGTCAACGAAGTTGTGGCATGGCGAGTCACAAGGGCTCAAGGCGAGGAGTGCGTATTGCACCTGGATTTGTCGGGGGTGGCAGCCTTGCGGCACAGTCTTTCTGGCGCCTCTTGTGTCCCGTTGAGTCTCACGCACATCGGTGGCGGCGCCGTCCGTCCCCACGGTGAGATTGGCTCGTCACAGCTTGCGGCGCAGAGGTACCTGTCCCCTGAGGTAAATGGGGATGAGGAGAAGGCAGCGATGACATATAGACAAGCGCGTGGAAGGTCAGTCATCGACGGAGTATCTTGAGAAGTGTTTGGAGCATATCAAGCGCGAAAGACGGAAGATTTTGGAGGAAAAGCACGTGTAGGGATTCATGCGAGAGTACACGACCACCGTTTACGAACATTCATCGTCATTCATAACCATCATGCTTGAACTGACCACCAAAGGCTCTGAGCCTCGTCCTGAGAGTGACATAAGGAAGAGACCAAGCATACTCTCAGCATCCACCATGGTTCCCCTCTCCGCGGCATCCTCAACGAGCTCTTCGCTTCCGCCGAGCAAGCGACACCATAGCGATCCCACGAGCCCACGCAGCATGCAGTTATTGCTGCCATAGTCATCGAGCAGCGAGGCGGCACTCGCGCCGAAGAGCTGTCGGATCCACAAGCGTCGAGCTCCTTCTCAACATAATGAGCATCTGCACAAGTTCCCATCGGTCGTGAACCTGCCGCCGTGTCTCAATGCTCTCAGGCGCGTGTTCTTCTTCGTACCGACAATCCGGGTCGCAACCGTCATGTTGGCGGCGATCGATGGAGGTGGATAACTTGAACAACAGTCAGGCGCCTGCGGCAAGGTTCGATCTGGGCGACGGTGCGTGGGGGTGGCGAGTGGGGATGAGGAACACCTCGACGACGGGCGACCGGGCGGCCGGCCACAGAGGCAGAATCGTTGGGGCCGAGGATGACGGCGGAGGGTGGCGGCGGCATGACGCGAAGGCGATCTTACATTTCCAGCTCTTCATTCTGAACTTCACCATCCGCCTCAATCTTGCGCCGCTCTAGGTCATTGAAAAGAGCCCGGCTGATGGCGCCGGCTTTACCAGACCAGTTCGGATATGGCAGGCCCTCTGCTCAGGCCGTCCAGGACCCTGAGCCGAAGTCGGCACGAGCGAGGATCTGACGCCAATTCGGAAAGGCATTTGCATAGCGCGGTGAAGCGCCTACATCGAACGCGGGGCGACAGGGTGAGCCGTCAGGACGAACAAGGTACATGGCTTCTTGAAGTTGGAGAGGCTGGGTGTGATTGGCGCCTGAAGGTGAGTACCGTCTTCTCAGGATGGTACGGGTCTCTGATTGGCCACAGGACGACACACTGGTTGGCCGTTGGCCGTAATTGGCTCGTCAGAGCCCGTACCATCTTCCCTAGATGGTACGGCTCTCTGATTGGCCGCTGCAGCTTGCAAGACAAGGGAAGCTCCCCCCGCTGGTCATCGTCATCCTCAGGCAGTCGGGTGGGCGGAAGCTCTTACAAATGATGCGTTGATGCATGGCGCAGTTGCACAATGCACCAAATGTGATGCGTGGAGCCGCCGACTTGCTCCCGATGACGATGGGCTGGTCTTAGATGCGGGCTCGTTGTTGGACGGGCATATGATGGCTGCTCCCGGCAGGGAGAACGAGGCAATTCGACAAGGTGGACCAACTGCGAGTCCGTTTCAGCTCATTTCCGTGGCCGTGAGCAAAGATGAGGGGGTTGGTAAATAGATGACGCGGGCAGGGGGGCCGACAAACGGAGAGCAAGCGGAAAGCCATGCTCGACAGCTATGATCACTGCGAGCGGCACCTATGAACCGGCCTCGGTTTGCGCAGAGGCGACCGAGGTAGAGGTGCGCTTTACCCCTGAAAGCTGCTCGTGTTCGTTCCCGCCCAATGTCCAGGTTCGTTGACGCATACATGCCCACAGAACCTCCGGCGGACATCGTATCAATCAAGTCGCCCGGCCAGCTGGACGACTCCATCCGCGACGATTGAAGCCCCTCACGCGTCGCTTTGAGCACAGAAGGCGCCCAACCGAGCCAGTGGTCCCTCAAGGCCATCGAACGCAACGGCAGGCACTTCCGATTCGACCACGATTCGGACCGACATCCCTTTCAACAGAGAGCCGCTGGGCAAAGACACAGTGCAAATGGTCGCTGTAGGTAAAGACACAATGTCTGTGGCAGCCGGAAGCAATGTCGGCGGTAGTGTCGCGTTCGGCTTCAAGTCGGTGCTGGACATTTCCAAGGGGATGGACGAGCTGCTGCAGGACAAGCAGACCCACGCAATATGGAGTACAACATGAGCTGGAGGTCAAGCGCCTGCACTGGATAAAGCAGCATGCGATGAGACGGGGCGAACGGGAAGCCCGGGAGAAACGGGGACGTTGAGCCTCGAAGGGTCTGGAAAGCTGCCTGAAGGTCATGCTGGCCTTGATGCTGGAAGCGCGCATCTTGTTTGACGATGGACTGGAAAGCGACACGGGGTCAGTAAACGAGAAATCTGTCCGCTTTTGCACTTTATCTGTGACATACTTGTGGGAGAGGTTGTTGCCGTAGATCATCTCTTCGACATTCTCAGGCTTGATCTGTGGTGACCGACGGGTCTTCTGGATAGAGAGAGGGAAAGGCTGGTCCCAGCAGGAACATGGAGTGTGAGGTGGTTTTTCCGCCCAAGAAAGTTTGAATGTGAAAGACTGGAGACGATGTGTAGAGGCATCACAAACACAGACACTTGTGGAGACAATTGCAATCAAGCACAATGAAATTCCGAGACGACAGTCGCAAAGCGCTCTCTGGTCTACGGTGCGCCAGTCGACAAGCTTCTTGAATGTGAGGCCCGCCTCCAGGACGCGGCGTCTGGCCTTCAACTGCAGCTTGAGCGCTTAACGGACGTCGCGACAAGAACTCCGTCCACGGATATCCAGTCCTTTCCAGACACTCGAAACGATGCCTCCGCGATGGGCGCGATGGCGACGGACTGTGCTGCGAGAGCATCATGCGAAGAGACCGGCCCTTGAGAGGTACTCGGCGACAACGTCGAGCTCGACGGCACGAGAATGGAGGGTCGCGCCACCATGTTCTTGGCCGTGACGGAGTCGCGAGCATTGGAAGAGGGGATCCGACAAGGGAGAGACGAGATGCAGCTGGGGTCGTCACGGGGCTGGAGGGCAGTAGACGCTGAGGATTGCGGGTGGCGAGGATGTTCAGACTGCGAAGCGTGCTGCTGACGACGGCCTTGGAGATGGAAGCACTTCGCTTGGTTCTGGCGTCGTTCATGTCTTCTCGCTTGGATAGGAAGGATGGGCTGGTTGGGGATGGTCATCTTCAGGCGACAGCGAGCCCGGGTGAGGTGTGAGTACTGACTGCAACATGGCGATAGTTCCGAGTATGGGAAGCAACAAACATGGAAAGGTTGTTTGGGCAAGAGAGCAGCAGGGGAGCAAAGCCAGGGAAGACAGGGGCAGAAGGCAGGAAGAAGACGTACGTCGGGACCGGCAACTTACTGAGGCGCTGCGGCAACGCAATATCGGCAAAGAGACCACGCTCGGAAAACGGAGCCATGTGGCACAGCGGTCGCAGATATGACCCGAGTTTGGCGTTGAAGACTTGGTCGTCGGCGTCGGGCGGAAGGACGCCCAATTTGTGCGGCTCAAAGAGGAGTGTCGCTCGCGCCTCGAGACACCAGCCTGTGGCAGGTTGCTTCTTGATTGGTGCTACGTAGAAGGCGACAGGCACGCAGCAGACTTCCTGGGCTTCGCTCGTTCGTTAGCCAAGTCAGCCCAGTGTCTGTTGTGGGAAATGGTACCTGGGCTGTGTTTGAGATAGGTGTTGCGCGCAGTGATGAGACGGCTACTTTTTGGAATTGCAGAATAAGAAGATAGGTGATAGATGGACCGTGTTGATGAATGATGACCGCTGGACAACAACCAAGTTGATGTATAATGGTCGGTGGCTGAGGGACAGAGACCGTGACAACTGCGAGGGCATGGAGTTCTGTTTTTGCTGACTGCG